AAACTATATTTTAATTATTATATTCTCCAAATATCCTAGCATCTTGAATATTTCATGTGTTCAAAATTATTTGTTATTGAAATTATGTTTTCAGTGTCTTCCAAGTTAACAGCATTTGTTATTTTTATTCAAACTAGTGACCAAATAATATACATTATCTTAAGATTTAAGAACAGATACATGATGGTATCCCTAAGTAAATATTTGTGATAAAAATAGGGGTTAAAATAATCAAAATTTGATTACAAGTTCATCTTAAGGATCATGAGAGTAACTTAAGGAATGTTTTCTGCTCTTACTATGCTGGAAATCAGCTGAGTCACTTGCAAAATGACAGATCCAAAGTTCCATTCAGGAGCTCCTTTGTGGAGCTAAGCAATCTATATTTTAAAAAGTATAAGTGATTCTGATTCATTCAGTCCCTAAAATAGCATTAGGAAATCAATGATTCAAGGGATCTAAGTAATTTAAATACATAGCCAAGGTCAGATACCACATTTCCAAAGATAATTGGAAATAACTTAACAATAATCAAAACTCTAACTTATTATTTTTAACATCTGTTTACTAGGTACATAGCTAAAATCCCACAAAGCCAGGATTTGAAACCATGAGTTGCTCTTTATTAATCCCATCTTTTTTCTTCTTTATTTTGCCACCCATGAAAATGCTGTGTTATTTAAAGGTAGCAGGATTACTGTTACATAAATGTTACCATCATATTGTTACAGAAGAGCAAAGAAAAACCAAGCACGCTTCCTAGAGAAAGGGAGGGACCCATTTATTAACACTAGTGACTAGTGGACTCAGGAAAGTAATTTCCAAATCAGAGAGTGAGTAATATACAGAGGCTTTGCTTTTTATAATCTTCTGGGGTCTTTGTCTTGCAGATATGGTTCCGCCCCTTGTGGGTTTACAGGAAGGCCCCAGGTGTTGGGGGTTCCCAGGTCTTATCAGATGATCTTCCTGGGGCCAGGGATAATGACCTTCCCCGCCCTCCCCCCCCCCCACAGGGCAGTGCATTGTTCAGTTTTTATGGCCTGACACACCTTGCAAGACCAGTTTCTTCCTCAATATCAGGAAATATTTCCAAGAAGATTTTAATGAAAAATTAAAATGTGCAGTTATTCCAAAATGTATATTCTTGTTGCTTGTCAATTATACCCTAATTAATTTAGAATAGGTTATAGCTGTTGGGGCTCATGATTAATGTGTAGTCACAGTAGAAGTACTCTTGTAGTTTGAAATATCTGGGATTAAGCCAACCAAGCCATTTCAACATGGTCAATAAAAGAATAAACTCCTTTAAAGTGCATGTAACATGTAATGAGTGCACTGTAACAGCAACAACAAAAAGCCCTAAATACATTTGGCTCATGTAAGTAGTCTGTGCTAGTTCTGGACTCTCCCACATTATTGATCTCTTTCCATCCCTAGAATCCAGAGCATACATTCCTGTTTCTTTCATGGGCCTGATCACTGAAGATCTCAAAATGTACCTAATTTTCCTTAACACCTAGTTACCACTGGTGACCAATTACAATGCAGGTTATTAGGGAATAGGGTGGATCAAAGAGTTGGGCTGCACATCTTAACCTAGAAAGGGTGCCAACTTACTCCTTTAATGAAATTGCCGGCTCTTTTAAAAAAGTGTATTTGCTTAGTTAGTTCATGTCTATGTCCACAGTTTCTAGAAATTCAAAAAGGTTTATTACTCAGGAAAAGCAATCTCCTTTTGATTCTGCAAAAGCTTATTTGGAGCTTATTTTTACAGTGAAGGTTAGATGGTGAGACTCTAACTCAGAAAAAAGAATACTAAAACAAGTGTAGTGGGTGGCTGGGAAGAGATCAACCAAAGAACTTGTATGCATATATATGCATAAACCATGGACACAGACAATAGTGTGGTGAAGGCCTGGGGTGAGGGGTGGGGTGGGCTAGAAGGGGTCAATGGGGAAAAAGGGGGACATATGTAATACTTTCAATAATAAAGATTAAAAAATAAATAAATAGTAAACATGCATTGAACAGTAAGAGAAAGAAAGAGAGAGAGAGAGAGAGAGAGAGAGAGAGAGAGAGAAAGAAAGAAAGAAAGAAGAAAGAAAGAAAGAAAGAAAGAAAGAAAGAAAGAAAGAAAATAAAACAAGTGTAGAACTCCTTAATATGCCCCTTCACAACAACCTTGTCTTTTCCCTGCCTTTGCCATTCTTATTTTTCCCAGCTGATTTGTGCATAGCACCTCAAAACAAAGCATTAGTGGGAAGCTCAAAATGAAAATCCTTACCATGGCCTCCCAAGCCCTGAAATACTGTTTCCCTCTGAGGACCCTCTGACTCATCTCCTCCTACTTTGCTTCTTTACTGCCACCACTCCTCTCCTCTAACTTCCATGCCCTTCATTAAACACACCAAGTGCATTCCTGTCTCAGGCTATTTGCACCTGCTGTTCCTGGGTCTCCAAGGAACTTAGTACAGATCTTTGCTTGGCTCCCTCATTTCATGCAGTTCTCTGTTCAAATGCCACCCTCTTGGAGAGGCTTCCCTGACCAATCTCTAAGATAATACTCTGTGCCCACCACCACTCTCTATCCACAAAGCCGTTATCTTTCTATCGTAATGTTCATCTCCTGACCAATTGCATATGTGTGTGTCATTTTTCTCTGGCCACTGGCATTGAAGTCCCATATATACTAGTAAATGTGGTGGCCAGACAGTTAATACTGACCCTCCTTATTTTCTCTTTCCCCAAATACATATTCATTTCATATCTCTCTCCTCTCTCTCTCTCTCTCTCTCTCTCTCTCTCTCTCTCTCTCTCTCTCCTGTCAAAATGATTGCTGCCATGCACCATACAGCACCGTACAGTTGGATGTGTTCACATTATAGCTCTTCCTGCACTTTGTGACTTTGTGGTGGTTTCAGAGTTGACCAGTCACTCTGCGTGGCCAGATTTTGTGAATCATCCTCATGCTGGTGCCAGCCGGCTAGCATCTGGGCCTTGGATGATGCAGGTTCCAAAGTGCCCCAGAAAGCTTCACAAGAGTAATATTTCCAGAAGTGGATGAGCATCTTTTGTGATTCATAACATTCTTCCAAACATTTTTGTGCTCCCTTGGGGCATCAGCTTCAGACATCACCTTCCCAGGCCTGCAGACAGGTTCTATGTGCTAAGAATTAAAACAAAAATCTGAAACAGTTTATGTGACAAGACATAGCGCAGATGGAACAAGAGAGCCATTGTGCAAATCCTGACTTTGTTATTTACTTGGTAGTGTCATCTCAGGTAAGGAGCCTGATATTTGAAAACTTGGTTTCCTCTTCTGTAAAATGGGATCATTAGACCTATTTGATGAAATTGTTATAAGGACTAGCAAATTATAGTATACATAAAGCACTGCTTGGTACCAGGCAAATACTCTGAATGGCAGATATTTAAATAAAATTTTCTTCCAAACCCAGGGAGGGCACTCAAATCAGTGCTAGAGGCACAATACCACTTAGGTAGTATTTATTGATTGACAAGTCTTATATTTTTTGGAGATTCTTCTATAATCATTTGACTTGATAAATAGGGTGGGGAAAATAATATTTTGCAATCAGGTGCTCATGAATTCAAGCTAATCTTGTCCTAAAATTTACTTGTGTGTATACTTCAGAATAATAAAAAAACAAAGCACCTACACAAGAGATAGAGTGAGACTATTGTACTCAATATAATCTTTCAATCTCAACATAACACTTTAGATCTTAGGACAAAGTAGGTTTGAATCATGACTACAATGAATAATCCACAATAGTTCTATTGAAAGAACAGGCAGGAGAAGTCAACAACTTTTAAAGTGTCCAGATACCTACCTTTTAATTTTGCATGACAACAAACAGGGTTATTGAAATTTAAAGAATAATTTGTAGAATTACAGGGTTACATAGTAATATTTATATGGAAACACATATATCCACAAACACATAATACCCTACTGTCTGTAGAAAATATATTTTCCCAACTATATTTACTTGGACTATTATAAAACACTAGAGCCCTGGGGTCCCTCAAGCCTGGATTGTGAAAGGGTGCAGGCCAGGCCAAGGGACCACACTGGTGCACAGTTGGGGCCAGGGAGGGACGCGGGAGGTTGGCCAGCCAGGGAGGGACCGTGGGAGAGCTCCAGGGCATGTCTGGCCCATCTCACTCAGTCCCGATAGGCTGGACCCCAGCAGCAAGCTAACCTACCGGTTGGAGCATCTGCCCCCTGGTGGTCAGTGCACATCATAGCGAGCAGTTGAGCAGCCTTAGCATATCATTAGCATATTATGCTTTGATTGATTGAATTGCCGACCGAAAGACCGGACATTTAGCATATTAGGCTTTTATTATATAGGATGTTTTCTTTCCTTGAGTGTGCATGAGTTGTGGACAGAGCATGTCAGGACAGGGAGAAGGTGGCAGACACGAACGGAACATTATAAAAATATGTTGTGCATGTGCCTGGCTAGCT